TATGACCGCGATCTCGAGGAAACCAAATCGCTACGTACGCGCTCCCCCGCATAAGTCAGCCTGGAGCTCCGTATGAGGATGTAGGGGACCAAGCTTTCTAAATGGATATGGCTGCAGAATTTCCCGCTTGGATGTCCGATCGTGAGAGTCTGAGGGACCCGGAATACCGCGAATACTGGGAAGGTGAACCACTCAGACGGCGGGGGAACTTAAGAAACCCGGAATTCCCCTGTCTGACAGAAAGCGATCGATTGTGTGCGAGGGACTTTCACTGTGCCATAACTAACGATCCTAGGGGTCTCGATTACCCGGATACTTACAACACGCGGTATTTCATATCCCCCAGTTTCGTCGTTATTACCACCAGTTTCCCTCCCTTCCACCTCCTCCTTCTATAACACCAACTCACGGTGGTGCCATGGAATTCCATAGCCCACTATTAGCCCCGCAGACCGTGCGAAAAGTGTCGGCGGCACCAGGCCTATCGAGCCTCAGAATTCGCTCGGCAAGCTCGAACCGAAGCCGAGGGGCGCCGACGACTGATCGAGCCGCACAACCCGCCACGAAGGCAAAACCAGAGGAGATGGTGATTCCCATTTCTTTCAGGCTTGAAAATTGAATTCGTTGGCAGGGGCAATGTTGTTGGGATTTTGATCGAGAATGCAAGAGTGTTTAGATCTATCGATACGGTGATCGTGGAAAAGTGCCCCGGATCTTTAGCCTGAGATGCACTGCGCATGCCATCTACCTTATGCTGCACGACATCAGCAGCTTCCCTTCTGAGCACACCCTCTTTGTGCCTATACCCCCGAAACTTGCCACAGGAGATCTCAGTTCCGACCTGGGACTCCACCCCCACTTTCCTAAAATCCTTGGCACACCCCTTTTCGCACTTCCAGGCCCCCATCCCACTCCGATCAGGAAGTCGCACTGGGCGTGAGGTTGGGCGTCACAGCGCTACCACTACCTGGGGTTGGCAGAGCCCAGAACATAACCCGACCACCACCCTGCTGAATTACAGCGCCAAGATAGGTTACAAGGGACAAGTTAAGTCTAACTCCGTGCCATTTGAAGTGAAGAGTAAATCGGGGTTAGATCAGCAGGGGAGTGCATTTTGTGACAGTACAGCAGAAAATAGACTTGTCACAACAAGAGATTGGAGGAAAATGTGGTTCTCATTTCAAAGAATCCCATGTGTGAAATTTGCTAGCCTGGCTTGGCTGCAATCTCACAGGGCGGTCCCAACTGCAAGGTGACTGCATCAGAAAAAGATGCCAATTCCAATAGATGATAAGTGCAGTAGGTGTAAGAAATTTCCTGAAACATCAGAGCATTTGTGGTGGGAGTGTATTGAGTCAAAACGGATATGGATGTGGTGGAGTGGCCACTGGGAGAGATTTGGGGCCAAGAAAATCCGTTGGGATAGAAGGTTTGTTCTGGATGGGATACTGCCCAAGGGAATTTCAATTTCATCTGGTAAGCGTTGGGGATATGCGGCGGCAGCCGCAAGGGTAGCAATCATGAACGTGATATGGAAACTGCGCAATGGCACACTATTCCAACAAAAGTTCTACTCTGACATCTTTACACTGCAAACAATATTGGAAATATTAGAGCAATGATCTGGGCAGATTGGAGACAGAAGACTCAGAAGAGCACGTCTACTGAGCAGGCCATATATATAGATGCTTTTTTAGCACCTCAGGCCTGCAAAGCAAATTGGTTAGACGAGGAAAAGGTGGAAACATCATAATCTGACAGTGGCTCCTGGAGTCCCCGGACCTACAGTAGGCTCCCATGAGCCTGTGCGGGGAGTAGGAGGACAGTAAAAGCCACGGACGGTAGAATTGTAAGGAGAGGTGGGAATGATTTTTCCTGTTTGGAACATTATGAGGGACGCTGAGCCCGGCGGTTCTCAGCTTGTTCGGTTCAGTTTCTCCGGGTAGACTGTGAGGACCCCGGCCTCAATCTTCTTATTGGTAATATCAGCCTCGGAAAAAAAAAAAAAAAAGGGAACATCACAGCGAATTAGAACACAGTGGAGGAACACAGTGTATCAGGATAGACGAAAGGGGGGTCTTTGGAACCTCTAGAGATAATTCAACAATGGAGTTGATTCATAATCAGCTGGCGCTCGAGAAGAGTAAACTTTTTTTTTTTTTTTTTTTTTTTTT